GCGGAGTGAGAGAAGAAAAACGCTCATATAAAACTTTTCAGAGAAGTCGGTAGCCCAGAAATTTCATCTGGCAGACTCTCAGGAAGCCCGATTTAAAAACCTAACAGCAGAAGGCAAACGGATCACACCTCTATATATCAAAAATATTTTGGAAATATCTGTATGGTTGCTTCTACAGTGTGACACAATATTGTCGTACAAACATACAAGAACTCTACGAAGAACACCATCAAACCGTAAGGGACGGTTGGACACAATGTTGAGGACCAAGGTCATGTACGAGATTTAGTGCGGAGATTGTAACAATCACTACTTGGGACAAACGGAAAGCAAGCTGTCTACCAGAATAGATGGAACACAAACTTGCAACCAAAGGGCATGACAAGTTTTCAGTCGTCTTTGGAGATCAAGGAGGACACAAATTCGACCGGAGCACTTTCCGCATATTGGCGGGAGCAACGAGAGGACGTGACTTCATAGAAGCACGAAACTGCAATGAAAACCCATCAACAGACACACTGAAGTCGACCCACTCCATCGACTAGAGCGAGCAGAATAATGGCAGAAGTACAGAATGTAGAGGAGGACAAACTAAAGTAAGCAAAAATTCCACTTCCCCGGACGAGCATCGAACTGGCAAACCGAAGAAGAATAGAGGTCAACTCGACAAATTAACCATTCGGCAGCAATCAAGTTTGCCTATACGGGAAGAAAAACCTACGTCAAACACGAAAGTATAGGTGGCTAAGCAGACCCAGGAAGATGAGAGTGCTCTACAAACTGAGAACGGATCAATAAGACTGAAGAAAGGAAATTACCAAAAATAGAAATCGCCATCACAAACAACCAAATTCAAGGAAGAAAGACCATAACGCAACACGGTATGGAAATCGGTGCAGTTGGGATAACAAAACCAGACAAAATGACTAATATGTCTGTCGTTACACTTGACTCAGCTCTGAAAATCCTCGGGTGGGGTCTCCGAGTACGCTCACCGATATACTCGTCGTTTATTCGTGGTCAATACAGAAATTTTTACTCACTCATCTGGCCGGACAATTAGGCTGGCTGCAAGTAGTCACATTTAAAGGAAACGTAAAGACCAAATTTACTTTTTATTGTACATGCTGTGTAACGGTTATCTAAGATATACGGGACGCTTGCAGAAGGCCAGCGACATGCCGCATAATGTAGACACATTTCGATCAGAAGCTTACGAATTTTCGTAGGGCTTGTTGAGAAACACACTATTCTGCGGCGTCGGGATTAGGCATTTCCTCATTATACCAAGAGGACGAGCAAGTCAATTAAAGTGTTCGCTGGAATACGCTCATTCACTTTAAAATGTCCACGGGTTCCGCATAGCGCTTCTTGAAGTGCAGCCACTTCGAACCAGCATTTCTACTCCAGTTGCTTTGTAAAACTACAAGTGAGTTTAACCATTGTTGCAATGTGAACCCAAAATCGGGGACTTTAGACGAACGGCAATCGTAAGAAGACCAAACTCCATCAACAAGTCCCCACAACAGATCATGTACGTCGCAAATATGTGAGTAATAATGAAGAAAAGCAACTGGCCATTGAGAACAAGAAACACAATTTCCATTTGCTACAATGGTTCATTTTCAATTAAACCAGGCCTCGAAGATATCTTTGACTAGCTGCACAAAGACGGTTTTGCGAAATCGGTCGATATCCATTTTGTGGCGCACCACTTTGCGCCTCGGAAACGTGCATTAAACATAGTACTCTTAAGAGGCTTAGATTAAGTCCCTGTTTCCAACATCGAAACCATCATTTTGATACCGAAAATATTGTACCATCCTTCACTGCCGCAGTCCCCATAACTTTCTTGCACATAATCTCCGTTAGAGAGATCTCACCATTGTTATCGCTCATCCTGTAAGACTAAACAGGTTTAAGATGGTTGATGTCCAAGAGCTTTGATCGGTTTAGATGCGGAGTCTGCCCGTTTTCGTGCATACTTCACCCGGTTTCTGAAGGATGGTATTGCGACGCATGTCTAAAGAATCGGCTACAGAAACTTGGGTGGGTCGTGAGTTCGACAGCCTTTCGAGAACAACTTTCAAATGCTTCCTTGTTCTACCGTTTTAGCCCGTCCTCTCAGCAGAAATCACAATTATCAAGATTGACTGTCACATAAAGCTTCAGTAGATTCTTTTGTACTCACCCCATCAGTCTCATTAGGTGTTGAAATCGTACTGTTCAGTGACACCGAGAAACTCATTTGTTCTTGCCATCATTATCCTGTTGGCCTTTGCCCATGTTAAATGGCTGTGAAGTATCCTCGCTTACTTTACCAGTGAACGTGTACTAAGAAACCTGCCTCATTGTGAAAGCGAGCACAATGTACTTTGTTCAGCAGCGGCCTGTACGCCCATTGCACATGATGTATCGCAAGCGGTCTTTTCTAGCGCCAATGTAATGAGTGTTTCCCTCAGGGTAAGTGAAAACCAACACGAGCCACCACCAACTTGTAAGGCAGAAATAATAACAATACTAGAATAGAGCCTAGAGCTCAGTGAAGAAGTAGCCCCCACTGTTTTCAGATACCTATGTCTGGTCAATCACTGGTTTACATAGGTATGGCGGATTTCAAACAAAGAAAGTCGTTCGTATTCGCATTTTTTACTTTCCAATCAATGAGATTTCGGTTTGCAGTGCACCCCAGTGAAGAGAGCACAGTGGACTAAATAAGCTCAGTGTGGTACAGTTATTACTTAGCCACACTGCATGTCAAATTTTGCATGCACAAGATGACGTTTTGTGAAGTAAAGTGTACGTAAAGCACTATGTTGATTATGTGAAATGAGGAGTCTGTCCTTGTAAGGTCAAGCATTGGAAAACACACATAGTAAGGAATTTGCTCTCGTTTTTTAAAGGTCCTTATAGTCAACTATGTGGTAGCATGCGGCATCAAGTACAGTTTTCATACGGGTAGTCATACATGGTACTACTAAATAGTACCAGAAGGTGTTCCACCCACCTAGCAGTGCTTCAACCAATTTAACCCTCATCATTTGCTCAACCCTAGTCTTTTTGATACGAAACTAGTTTTTGAAGCACTGTAGCTGAACGTCCTATTAAACGAATCTGAGATCCAGAGTTGTACTATTGTCTTTCCTCATCAATCCGAAAGTAACGAACTTGTTTCATCTAAATAATTTGCGTCACTCCGCGAAATTTTATCGTCGTACACAGTTTTCGACCTCCAGAGCATAGCATCTATTTTCTAGTTCAATCAAGGGCCTGCAAACGCGTGCGTTTACTGTAATACACTACTCAGCAGGTTGCTGAAAATTTTTCGACAGCCCACGACCGGTTTTGCCCTTCTTAGGGCTCATCAGGTATGCGTAGCACCCGAGTTTCCGTCAACCTTATGTTCTGCTTGAAACCAAATTGTGCGGAATCAGCGAAATACACTCATTTGTAAACGAATTTGGTTTTGCCAAACGCTCACCTGGAACCAAGCTGTATCTCTCGTTTCCGATGTTTCTAAGCGTCATAAACAAGAGATTCAGTTGGATCACAATTGACCCTCCAGCAAAACCAAATTTGTTTGCAAAAGAGTGCATTTCGCTAGCGTACGGATTGTTTTCAGCTGAAGAGCTGCATCCGACAAGATTTATATGTGATCTGCAGTTAGGTACAATCATAACAATGTTAATCGAGCCATGGCTTTGCCTGATACGAATGAGTTGTTTACCAAGGAACAATACTGAGGAAAGTGCGATCCGGATGACAGTCAAAAGTTGCTTACTTACGGTAATTCCCCTGTACAATAACAGGCGGTGGAACTGGGTTGCTGCGCACAGATGCCCGCTGTACGCGATATTGTAATGGAGCAACTAAACATGCCCTTAGTGTTCGGTAAAGAAATGATTAGCTTTCGACAGGGACGGTTCATTGCTGCTATTGTGCATTCCTCAGTGATCATTTACAGCTATATTAGCGTGCCTGATTTAGAAGTATGCAGGGCTATCTTGATTAGAAATTAAAAGAAAAATGCTTGTTCTGTCGTGTTCGACTGGTAAGCAGGTGTTTTAACTACGAATATAGCTTGTGTGCGTGTCACATACCGTAACGTTCTGCTGAGAGCTATCCATCTTGCATTGCAAAACCGTTCTGAGTAGTTACTCGTCCGGCGGGAAATTTCCTTCTTTTACTTCCCTAAACCAGATATTCAAGACATTATGCGGGTTACTCCGCGTCCTTCTGACCTTGGTGAAAATCCTATCCGTGGATCAACGGTGATGCAAAGTGCGACAGTCTAACAGACTAAGACGGCCATCAGTGTGCCTAAAACCTTACTTCCTCCCGCTGTTTCATTTTCGAATGTACTGCTGTATGTTGGCTATTAACACCAAATCGACACTGTTCCGCTTCAAGTGGTAAAATATTTCAGTAAACACGTTAGCCTGTTTAGACGTGCTACTTCGGGTACATCCGGCGTGCGCTGGTGTAGTAGTGGAAACACGCTAGCCTCGCAAATGTCCGGAGTTCGAACTCCGGCACAGCCAAGGATATGGACTGCTGATGAACTCCGATGGGAGTACAACTGCAGTCCGGTGACTCTCCCAATTAGTGTGGACTCACCAAAATAATTGCACCATGAAGTGAAGGAGAACTGTTCACCAATCGCGTTGGACAAAACTATCGATCTATGCACTCATTATCTCACATACTCAAGCAGCCACTTGAAAATTCCACTGAGAAACTCAGTATACATGTGTTATCAAGATACAGACTATGTAACTCAAGCAACCTGAGAGACATATCGATTGTGCATTTCGCGTATTTTCTGTTTAGACAAGCGCAGCATGTTGTACCAGACCATAGTTGTAGCTGCTTTGTTTACAAGGTCTTTTTTACACCAGCACATGACAAAAGTAAACCCTCAGTGAAGAGCGATTAGGATGAGAGAACGGTCGTATCTATCAGCTGCGAAATAATGGCACGCGTTTAGGAAAAATAGTGTGTCTGTGTGTGTGTGTTGAACAGCCTTTCAGCAGGGGATTGATCTTGGAAGTTCAGACAGGTCTTGCAGAGCTGCCAGCAGTACACCTATAAAGTGTTGGAAAGGGTTGGATATCGGTCCACAAGGGGTCTGCATTCTTTTTGATTCCTTACTGTCTGGCCTCCAAACACGGTAGAATCAAAATCATCAACGACAGGAACACTGCTACCATTGCTGCCATGATGGCACAAAACGGTGTAGGCATCGCCGGAATTGGTGTGTGCGTGTTGGCCTGGAGTGAATAGGTCGTACCAAGCGTAATGGCCACTGAAAGAGATTGAAATGTAGATGTGAGAATTATATCAAATTAGGAGTCTTTGCTGACCCATTTTCCCTGTCTGTCACTGACAATTTAATCAGTTACACTGTTGTTAAATCCACGCTACAATACAATCTATCCATGTCAAAGAAAAAAAATCAACCTCAGAACCGTTTGCCTCCATGCAAAGGAATTATATCATCTTTTATCATAACAGCACATCCATAGCTTATCACAAATAGATGGCATAATGCTATCCTACTACGTTGACTGGTTGTCTATCTCACTAGTTATTCGATGGGAGGAATAGAACTGGTATCTTTTCCCTAATCTGTGCAACTAACTGCCTCAAAATGATCAGTCCTGATCACACTAAAGAACATAACTACGCTCGCTTCCCTTCGAACATCTGTTTCATTCGTTTGTTTTGCTTTAGAGTTTGACTTACTTTGATGGCGTCGCAGTTGGTTGCATTTTCTAGTTGTCAACCACCACCACCACCACCACCACAGAGGATAGCACAGTTAGAGTGTTATACCTTTGAACAGCTCAGCTCTATCAGTGTCATAATTGTGCCACCTAACTTTTGGTTGGAATGTAACGGTGAGCTGAGTTCTTAGCTGCACATGATCTGTGCAAACACCTTCGGGAATCAGGTTGAAATGCTCTGTGGTTGCATTATTCGCCAATCACAACGTTAAGCTTTTTTCGCTAGAGGTAATGGTTTTTCACACATTGTATTGTCTACTGCTCAATTTTTGATCTTGTTGAGTCAACCACCCTTTTTAAGGGATAGAAAAATCTCACCTTTCATGAACTGGTCTTTAATAATAAAAACGATCGTGGGTGAATTACCGATCAAACATCTGCGCCAGCATCAACTGACTTAGCTCACCAAAACGGGGTCCTTGGCCACACAATGCTCTTAGCTGCAAAACCTTTGCGAATGGATTAAAACTTTTGACGTCGAAGTGTTGCACTTTGTTACGTATTTGCTCAAATCAAAAACCACCTTGATCTACGTTCATATTTTTTCAGCTCGCCGAATTTCATTGTTAACTGAAGCAATCATATCTCCGGCGGAAAAATTCCGATGAAAGAGTTTCCTAGCATCACTGGGGTCCCAGGATGCCTAAATGGGACTCAAACGTTTGGAGTGGTATTCTGAACTCACTTGCTTGTCTGTTTTAGTTCATCAGTGATACGTTGTAGCTTTCGAGATTTCAATTCCATTGTGCCAATGCTGCGCGCCCACCAACACTGAGAAGTGTTCTTAGGATTGACTTGAACAACTGAATGAATTACAGCTGATTCCAGACTTTAATGTATACCTCAAGCTTTGTTGTCATTCCCAGAAGTCCTAAATCCGAGCATTGGAAACGCAAGTTTTGTTGTACGACCTAATAAAATGCATATTGGATGTAACCTATGGGGCTGAAATGACCATAACCAGAAGATATTCAGGTTCTTTGGGTTTTCGAAAAACTGGTCCCTTTCGGAATGGTGCGATTTCTTCAAAGGATGTGTACGTTGCTCATTACTCCAACGACAAAGTTTGAATGATCGAAACGAAGTGGTAACTTTATGGAGGGAAAACGCACGGACTGGGGAAAGGTCATCGTATATATAACCGAACAACTGGGACACATGAGTTCTCCCATGAAAGGCGATAAACATGTCCTAAGCCTGCGCCTTCCTGAAAAGCCAACCTGTTTCAATTATACAGACAATTCTTAGTAAAGCTATTTACACAGCATTGGGTCCTTCAAAAGTGAATTCAGTTCTTTGAACATGATTTGGAACATTTTCTATGTTGTACGTTTAACGTTCTAACCATCTGGTTCATGGTCAACCAACAGTACAAAATTTACGTTCTTCAGGTTTATCAATATTCTTCGTCACATTCTCTTAACAGTATCGTTTATCCTTGCGATGAATCCAGATCAGATTATGGGGCAATAACTTTTGAGCTACTTCGCCTAATTGTAGTCTTTTGATAACACAGTTCAATCTGTCTTCGCCGCATATCAGAAAATGGACAGAGCGGTCCTCCTTTTAGGTATATGATTTATAGATCAGTTCAGATCACCGAACTATTTGTTGTAATCTATTGTCTGGCCATCAGGTTTTACATTCGAACTCGGCCATGAGTTGGCTGGGTGTATGATAAATTGGGGTAAGTATATTGGAATCTGACACCCCACCACGAGCTGCCTAGCCGAATTCGAGTGTATTACGTTCGGTTGAAAAGCGCGACATAAATCATAACTTGGGATGCACAAAGCCTACTGAAGAATGGTTTTGCACTTCCACGAGTTTAGCTTGGAACAACTTTGGAACTTCTTCTGTCTAGTGGGAACTGATCTGGAAACCGGCCCAATTCTTCAAACTACTTTTGAAGAATTGCTTGACAAAACACGGAAGGATTTTGTTTTAAACGCTTGGAAAAGGAACTGGTTAAAGAACCTCAAAAGCTACATGGTTTTTCATGCTGCGCTTAATTTTTGGATAGTAATAACGGCACAATTTTTGGGAAGCACATTTCCAATAGCGGCTGCGCCGTTATGAAGAGTTTGAAATGCAATAGCTATATTCATTTGAATAGTTAATATAATATCCATCTTCACCAGGCAATGTAGAAGCCAAATTATCGATTTGTTACGTTGGGTTTTGTTCAGCCTTTGGACATTAGAATGAAATGAAGTTGACTGAAGTATCAAACCTGAGTTTCCTTAGTCTCTGGAGCTGACGGTTCGATAGAGCAGTGTGAACACTCTTCAACGGACACTGCATGTGGATGACGAAGCGTATGCTACACATTAACTGAGGGAAGTCTAGCGTGATTCTTGCTGGTGGCTGTGATCCATATACAACCTGCCTTGTTGAGGGGTTTTCTTCCAACCCAAAAAACTGATAACAGTCTCAGGATTGTTAGTGGTACTTTGCCAGAGGTACCTTTGTTTTACTTCAATCTCAAATGACCCGTTAACTCTATGTACGAATACGAACTACGAGCTTGTTGGGCTTGGTCAACATGCAAGATGGGTGCTACAGGAGGGGCACAAGTTCAATAACCGGCTATTCAGAAGATAGTACTAAGGCATCCGGAGAGAATCAGTATACTTCAGGTGAATTCTTTATGGGAAGCACGGAGGTTTCTTGGAAGAATTTGTCAAGCTAAGGAAGGACATTTGCAGTATACACAATCCAAAAATCGTATATTGCTCTTTTCCAAATTATCTTTGTGCACCGCCTAACGCGTCTGACATTTGAGCAAACCGTAATATTGAAATATTGCTATCATATCCTCATGGTTCATCTTAGATGTGCAAACCAGGTTCAGAAAGGAAGTACCAGGGTAGCAGTGAAGCAAGCTAACTCACGTGTCACAGTTAGCAGCACAAAACAGATGAGATTCACGAGCTTTCGTTTTTGATCGAGAATTATGGCCATAAAAATTAGCACCAGCGTGACGATCAGGAGAATCACTGCCAGAATGTCAAACGCGCCTACTGTTTTGTCCATCGTGCTGCTGGTGGGTCCTGGAGAATGAAGAAGGAAATTTTATAGAAGGAATTAGTGAATGCCAACTTAAGTCACCACCGTTTGATCTATATATGAATATAACAAGTTCATCATACTATCACAGAACCGCGTTAGCTTCGTTCTACTTTTCGTTCTCTGATAGATCGTCGACAGTACGAACCTGTTGTCTCTCACCTTCAAAAGACACGTTTGTTTTTCCCAACCTGGCTCATTGAAGCTAGAATTAGGCACCGACGCAGGGCCACTTTGACCAGATCGATCGCCGAACCAGTATCGAATACCAATAATTTGGTTGCCGTGCGACTTGACACATTTGTACAAATTGGATTCAACTTGATTGGGGACTGGGGGTAAGCGTGATGGCAAATAAGTCATATTCACCTGAAAATCTGGAACTTTCTATTCTGTGTCAGAAGCGCCTCGCTCGACACACAGCATTTTAAAATCTTTAGTTCATTTAGTTCATTTAAGCCATATTAATTAAAAAAAAACACTTTGTGAGTCCACTTACACGTATTTGGTCTCAAATACTTGAAAGTTCTGAGCTGTCATTGCATAATGTCTTTGTCAGGTTTCCGAAGAAGCCTACTCATCTAAAAGGGGAAAGCTATTCCTTTCTTGTCTGGTTACTATGCACGTCCGTACGTTCGTACCATAGAATGAGTTGGTGCAAAGAAGTCGCGAGCTCGCTGGGATTCGAAACATGTATATTTATCGTTCTGCTGCAACAACACTTGACTACTCAGATATCTTTACATTCTTGGCATATTAACAAAGTCAAGGTATGCCTAAATTCGTTTAGCCATTCGGAATTTTATACATCAGACAACAAAAATGTCTGATTCATTGTGTCCCATGGGAATTCAGATAGGATTTGTAACTGAAGCATGGGAAATCATGAAAAAATAGTCGTTGTTGTCATGAATATGTGGTCTAATACAATTACAAAGTACTACGTGGTGATTAGGCACCGTCAGAGACTGTAGCACTATCAAGTATAGATAAGTACACGGGCCCAAATGTAAGCAAGCTGTACGTGCAGATCATCACGATGACAGTGGGTTCTGAGTTCCAGGTCGAATCAAATAAGGGTGACGAACAAACTAAACAAGAGTTTGGGTGATGCGTCCCCTAGTGACATAATGGTTGTTTATCGGTGTGTTTTGGTTCGCTTCGCTTTACTGAGAAACACTATACGGCTCCCCATCCTTAATGGAAATCACTGGCTGTGATTACTCGCGAAGCTTTTGGCGACTCAAACTCCGAACCTGCAGCTCCGTAGCTGAACCTTGTGCCATTCGATTACGGGTGGCTGACCAGCTATGCAACTTTCTCACCTCCAGACAGAACACAGCGCCCCTGGTTCTCAGGGACGCTGTTCATCTTATACGATCAGGTAGTGACTAGTTTCTTCGGTGACTAGTTCTCACGAATCACCACTTTGTCGTATCCACCAAAGACTTCGCATAGTGATACGGTTGGATGTGATCAGACGCTCATGTGAGGGTGCCATTTGTCCTTCCATGAGGTCTGCATGGCATTCTCTGGTCACTTCTGAGCGATCTTCTTTTCAAAGGACTTCGCATAGTGATACGGTTGGATGTGATTAGACGCCCATGTGAGGGTCCTGCCATGAGGTCTGCATGGCATTATCTGATCACTTCTGAGCGATCTTCTTTTCAAAGACATTGAAGATGGTTGGTCAAAGTGCAGATTCGCGCTTCATGGCCCATGTACTGCCATGTCACCTGTTGACCAAACCTGGCCAGAATTTTCATGGCCCCACGGCTGAAGTTCTACCCGGCAGTGCAGTTTAGAATCACTAACAGCTTTTCGGGTCTTTCCCTGCATCAACAATCATTTCTGCCTCTTGCTGAAAAAAGTTTTCGGTTGGAGAATTCCGTTTTATGTAAACTGATTTGATGCTATCTGGTAATTTCCAAGAAATTCATGATCTACGTCTCTGAGATTGCATCCCTTTGAAAACACATCAAATTCTGTTTGAACGTACTCATAAATTGCTCAGCTTGCCTGTTCTTTGGAGATGCTATGGTGATAATCATGTCATATCGACACTACATTATATCATTCAGGCAAGAGTGGAACTGCAGGGCAAGTCTCCTTGAAGGTGCTTGGAGAGTGTAACTACTCTAAGTGTCTTTACGATAGCAGAAAAAGTCGGGTGATGATTCACAGTGACAGTATTAACAGTTCGCCTGCATTGCTTTCGAAAATAGCTTTTAACAGTGCTGAATTCACAATGAGCCGGTAGATTTCGTGTGACTGGTTGTACCCACTTGCTCGTGTGAAGAACATCCTTCGTTGATAGAATATATCTTGAATTTTGGCACAAATGCTCTTATGTATAACTTTGTGCGGCCAAAGGTAGGATACTAACTCCTTATCATTTAGTATCAACTTTCAGCCCTTTCTGTTAATTCGCATCTAGAAAACCTACTTCTTACCTGTTAGGGTGAGTTAAAATTTATTCCTCAAACCTTAGTGTACTTTTGGCCAGGGAACCTCGTCTTTCTGCTTCACCAAAAAGCCAAGCTATTGCTGACCGATTATTCAGCGTTCTCCATCGTTTCAAGCTAGAGATAACGTTTTGTATTCATATAACACAAGCATAACCCAGACTTTCACTGATAATATGCCCAAACAAGTTCTGAAATGCGTCCTACTAACGTCTGAAATATTGTGATACAGGAAGTGTCTTTCAGGACCTCCATTCTTTTGTTTGAGAACAGCTTATTGCTCAAAGCAACTTTTGGTTTCACGCAATTAACCTCCGAAGACTAAAAATACTCACCTTGTAATTTGCTTTCATACCGATTGTCCACCACGAGCCCAGTTATCACTAAATAAATCGCTGTGAAAACACTTATGATCAGCACGTAATAGGGTCGGCATTGTGGGGCAAGTAGCCGAGCCTTTACAGAGCCCATGATGAGCGCTAATGGCGGGCGCAGTAGTGAGTAGCCGGTTATTAGCTTGTTGATTTAAGTCTGCTACCTTGGTACGCAGAAATGTATGCACAGATGCGGACAGGTCAAAATATATCTCATCGGTCATTTGTGGATTGGTGTGCCGTTTGCGCAGGAGTGTGCCAATCGTTTAGCAGAAGGTTAGTGAAGACCTAATGAGGAAACGTAATGCGGACAGGTCAAAATATATCTCATCGGTCATTTGTGGATTGGTGTGCCGTTTGCGCAGGAGTGTGCCAATCGTTTAGCAGAAGGTTAGTGAAGGCCTAATGAGGAAACGTACACATTTCACGTGCACACACACACACACATCCACACGCACTTGGAAATGCCCTTTTATTAGTAAGGTGAAGTTGACTGTTTGGTCGTATGTTCTCAAACTAAACCTGATTGTTTTCAGTGTATGGTGCAGAGATGCTAGTGACTGAGTGGTTATTACGCGCTTAGTTCAACTAGTGAAATGTTGAAATGCTCATTCCAATAAAATCGTTTGCTGATAGGTACATCTGCTAAAATAACACAACGTTAGCCGTTAGACACTCGCACGAGGTTGCATCAAACTATCAAGGAGATGAGAATGTCCCCAGTGCACGATATGTTTATAGGATCGCCAATAAATTTCATCAAAAACTCAACTAATAAAGGCTGATTTAAAGCATGTTTTGCCAGGACTCCATGCTTACTATCGGAGACTATAGTCAGAATTTAAAGGAATGTGTTTTAATGAGACGAGCGCGGATTTGAATAAAGAGTGCGACAAAAACATGTGGTCCCCTAAGGGTGCCACTGATTAGGGGTCATTTTTTAAAGGTGTTTTACCGGCGTACTGTCTTAAATTCTGTATAAATCGATTTGGTACACACTTGGTGAGCCCCCGATCAACATTCCGTGCTCCATTTCACTGAGTCACTGAATCATGGATATACACACCTTCATACAACTAGTGAGCTAATGTGTTACATAATTCCTCAGTCAGGTTGAGATAAGGATATTGATTCGTTCGGCTTGCTAACTTCATAGTTCAAAACGGAGACTATTTCCTGATTGGTAACTGGTGTGTTACTTTGGTTACCTTGGTGTAAACTGACGGCGAGAGGGATTAAAGACCGTTCTCATATCTGTATTTTTGCATCGAGACTGAGATACCGTTTAGCCTTGTTAATTCACCCAAATATGGGCTGATACTACGGAAACTAGCTTTTCTCTGTAAGTTCTATGACGCGGTTTTGCACCCCACTCATCTACGTGGAGCTTCTTTTCACGGACGACGACTGTACGGCTCCATCACTGATTCCGGGAGACTAGATTCACTTCAGGATGAGCTATCTTGAAAGTATGGCAGTTTGAGCCAAATGCTGTTATTCGTTTTCTCGTATTACTGCGGTTTGTCATCTGATATCTCAGCGCAACCACGCTAACACTCATCGTAGTTCGAATTTGTATGGAGCTGATGTAACTGCATTTATAGCCACCTAAACTTACGGACGAGTGACGTAGCGGTACACAGCAACATCCACCAATCCAGTAAGAATATCTGGGTGCAAGGACAAGTTCGCTTCCCACTATTGCTGCAACGAAGCGCAGTCATACCCTCACCGAAATACGACTTGTTTCGCCACACACAAACGCTGAACGAACCAAATCATTGCGCTTGTCTCAACGCGGATGGTAACTTGCAGAACCTACTATCACACCTAGCGTCTGTAGATACGAATGACTGTGACTCAAAAGATGACCTGGTCTTTTCTGTGAAGTGAGAACGATGAAGGATTAGTCGAGAAGCAACGCTACTAAGGGTGGTATTGGCGGAAAAATACCATCGAAACGCGATGCAAGTGACATGCAAGTTCATCGTACACCTTGGTAACATCCATTTTCAACTTTTCACGCCTTCTGTCAATCGTTTTAAAAAATACACGCTTGTAACTTATAACATCATTTGATCATAGCCCACTTTTAACAGAGTACGAGGAAAACAGAAATGGTGTACTAAGTGGCCAGGCGTACCAAATACCGTTACTATTAATTCATGAATTTCACCCTCTGTGATAAGCCTCCAAAGGAAAACACCACCGTCGAGGAGACAGTTTTTTAACTATGGGATTGTTAGCAAACCTCACTTTGGAATACCCCAGAGCAAAAGTGAAATAGTTTCCGATTACCCAAGTGACCAATTTATTCGGCAACAGGAAATGCCACAATAAAGATGCTCAGTGTCACTGTCACTATAAACGATTCACGTTATAAGCAGAGCTGACATGGCAAAACTGGCATGCCACTGAGCTCTTCTTGACGGACTACAATTTGGTCTTGAATAAGTAAGCAGCAGTGTTCTCGGAAATATTTTACGGTTGCAATACCACATGAGAGAATAAAGCCAAACACGATTAACCAGTGATTGTCGATTTGCCGTAGGTGTCATCTCTGTGGTATTAAATACGTTTTTGTGATGATTTATCGCGCCTAATGGTTCTTGTATTGAAAAAGACAGCTAGTTCAACACCAAACCTAGAAGGTGAGGCTGACGGCCGTTATACCAGTTCGCCTTGTTGCTCAAGTATGTCACTCACGGATAGGTAAGAGTACTTTTTCTGGAGCGCCCAGCACAAATGAAACGAAGAATTGTTATCCACTTCACCAGACCAAAACGGACTCTTATTAGACTATTGCGGAAAACATGCACGTGCTCCTGTTTGTCACCCTACATCGAGGGATATTTTGGGGTCCATAGAAAATGTGTCCTCGAGACCTGCAGTGCTGTGTAGTCTTCATTGTCGAGTTCACATCATTTCGATAACAATGACGCTGTATGTGTTCGGCCATTTTTTAGAAGTTCAGGCTTCACTGCGTACCACTGACCTTTTGCGTGGTCTATGTTTGGCAATATTTATCACTTTAGGGGCAGCGAGTGGAAGCGAGTCACAACCTCTGAAATGACAGTTGTGGTCAAAAGTAGTCCACAAGAAGCCACTGGTTTGCAGTGGGGCTGTCTTCATTCGCCCGGAAGTCTTTTGTGAATCAAAACGGATCGTCATTTAGCTGAACAGGTACGGCCTCATTGTTCTTAATCGCAACATACATTGCAAAGGGATTTACTCCAACAGTGATCAACCAACGAAGTCAGTTGCTCCAGAATGCAGTTCTTATGGGACAATTAATGACCGTAAGCAAGCTTCAGACATTTGAACAAAACTGGAAACATCACAAGCGAGAGATTCGGCTGGGTTCCAGGTGAGTCTCTCGCAAAACCAAATTAGTTTGCAAATGAGTGTATTTCGCTAATACTGGTGTCTGTTTTGTGGATAATTTTCCTGTAGTCATAACTGTGGTTTCTGACGTTGGTTGTGGTCAGACATAACCAGGAAACTACCTTAGGGAAGCCGGAAATTTATTACTTAATTTTAGCAATGTTTCAGAGCAACACAGACACGAGATGTCAACTGGCACTAAATGCCATTGGTTTTCCAAGGTTTAGCTTATCTTTTTTATTTGTAGTTGCGAGAACTGGCGGTGCATCTTGGTAAGTATGTGTTGTTTGATTGCAGAACCTCATTTTTCTGCTTCAGTAAGCTTCCGTAAATTGATCTGGTAATGAATGAAAAACCAGCCGAAGTTGCTATCATGGAGTCACGGTTCAGGGTTAAATTTACCGTTGGGATTAACAAAGATATAGCAACTGGCGAGTAACCGGTTGTTTTTTATCTGATTCGGGCCGTATTACCCAAACATCTGTTCGGCGTAGGACGCGTAGAACGATCCGTAAACTGAGTAGGAAATTGAAAACTCAGCATTATAAACTTGTTCAGAATCTTCCACGCCTGGGACTGAACTTCGAAGTCTTAGTCGCCATGTCATTCCACAAGCGAGATTAGTTTATGCTGAGACGCCGAACTGACGTCTTATCTTCTTTGGGACCTAGCACCAGTACCATCTGACGAGTCTTCAACGAGAATCGAATCGATGGCTTTCCCGTAAGAAATTAGATAACGATCCGATTGACCACGAGCGAATGATCACCAGTTTGACTTGGACCAGGTAACAGTCCAGTATACTGTTTTTAATTAATTCATGACGCGTGCTCAGTTGCTGACTGGCTGCAAGGGAAGTCCGTTGAAATTTCTCGTATTCGGTACTCCATCCAGTACGTTCAACCTCATCTTTGAACTTTTGAAAGTTTATTAGGTTGCGCGTACACTCGCAAACCATGTGGAAAATTCTGAAGGAGATTCAATAATAAACATGTCCTAGCACATACCTCTGAGACATTTGGATGGGGAAAGGCTGAGTTAAAAGTACCCTGAGCCTAAACTTCGCCCTGGGTTTTAAACAATTCCATAAACCATGCATTTGAGTGCACCAAAGTGTTTTGGAGAACGATCATTTGTGATGCGCCGCTGTGAATTACAATATGGACCACCGCGTTTTCAAAAGAGATGATTCCAGATCTTAGTTAGCGTTCCTAACGGTATGAGGCCAACAAATGATATAATCAAGCACGCGAAAAACTGCGAATGTTTACGACTGAGTATCAGTTTCATCCAATGAGTACATCGTTCTGAGAAGTATGACGTTTGAAAGTTGAGCAACGTTGGGACCACCGCGTTTTCAAAAGAGATGATTCCAGATCTTGGTTAGCGTTCCTAACGGTATGAGGCCAACAAATGACATAAGCAAGCACGCGAAAAACTGCGAATGTTTACGACAGAGTATCAGTTTCATCCAATGAGTACATCGTTCTGAGAAGTATGACGTTTGAAAGTTGAGCAAAGTTGTAAAGTCAGGGGAGTTTCTTGATATTTAAGGTCTAAATGACATGTCCAAGTGACTGTTATCTGTCAGCGAAAGAGGCCTGTAAATCGGTCAAGAAATACTGCTTGATATATCGAATTCAATACACTTGAGATACGAAAAAAGTAATCGCAGTAAAGTCAGGGGAGTTTCTTGATATTTAATGTCTAAAT